CCACGCATGGACGCCGCCTACGCTTTGTACGCGTATGCTCTACCAGCTGAGCTACGAGGCCACACCGATAGCACTGATCTTTTCACATTCGAATTTACCCATCCAACTTACAGAGGCATGTGGCATCCACCAGTTAGCATGCAAGCTGACTGCCCCGACAGGTTTTCCTTAGAATTCACCGGACTCCACCGAATGAGCTTCTAAGACAAGTTGAATTGTTCAAATAGTTGTTTGACAGATTTGAAGTTTGTATATCGATTGTGAAAAGTTCAGTAGCCTCGATGGGATCACGGAATGATCGAATATGGGGAGGGGGGGAGGTGGAATTACCGGGGAAAAATAACTTTCACTGATTTATAATCATACAAGACACAACATACGTCACAGCTTAGCACGGTGAAATTTTTTCAGATTGAATGTGAAACTCTGACGTGAATGAAAAAGTGATAGCATTTACCTTACCGTATCTCTCGAGTTGAAGTGAATCCTGTTTTTGATATGTGAACACATTAACAGACCAAGAATGATAAACACTGTTCACAAAAATACAACGGATTTCGTCTAAAGTTTGACAGGAAAAATGTGAACGGTATTTTTTTTTTTTAGCCTCGGCATATTAATGTGTCCACATCTCAAGAACAGAGTTCACCTTAGGCGAAGATACTCAGTGGTAAGCAAGTACCAATTTGTACTATCACTTTTTGATTCATGATTTTCAGGGCTGGTGAATGCAAAACACTACGTACCTAACGTTTGTGTTACATTCGAGATTTTTACTCACAGGATTATCACATGCTATACGAGAACACTGAAGCTGTACAAGATGAACTCAAATGGTTTGACGATACGGGCACATCGTTCAAACTTTCCTCAATCAACATGTGGTGCAGCGTGTGACCGCCACACCTCATTTCTGAACCAAGCTTCGCAACATTGACATTTGTAAAAAAATAACATGATTCAACAATTGTTGACCTTAGAATATTGCGATACCTTTTTGATCTGACTGGCATGACTAAACTTTGCGCGTCGACACTGCACGTTTTGGGCTAAATTTTGCTGGGAAAAAGGATAGTTTATTGATCCGTTCATCCATAGACACCAGCGAGTGATTTACTTACCAAAAAGGTCAAATCTCGAACCGTGCCATCATGATGACGGAGTTCGATGCACTGACCGGCACTGTTGGCCAAATTGGGATCTCCATTCGCAGCCGCGGGTAGCCCGGTTTGTGGTTCCATGGGCAGAAGTCGTACTGTGGTATCGTTGCTTCCGGTCGCAATTAGACCACCATCCGGACTCCAGGCCACACAATAAATACTGCCACGATGATATTTACCGCGTCGCATCAGGATGAACGGAGCAGTGGCAACATGATCCGTCCTTGAGTGGATGAATGTTTGCATTCGGGGATTAGAACAAAACATTTTGATTCGATATGTTCGGGAAGTAGAAAACAGTAAAACGCATTGTAATTTGGATTTACACAATGATAGGAACCGTCTGATCAATTAGATCAGAGTAACTGAAGATATTTGCCTTAATATCTACGATACAACGTCCAGTGAGCTCTGCCCTTGTACGGTATGCTCTTTCTATATTTTTTTAGATTACATATGTATAGCAAAGATGCAGCTAATATTCAGCCAGGAGAGGAGGGAGAGAGTCACAGCTGATTCAGTGCTCCCTAAGACGGGGAAAGCAGTATGACGACGACGGGATTGAAACGCGGTTAGATCTCATCCGGTGGACGCATCACGCATAGTGTCAGCTTGCATACAGAAGGCTCGGTTGACATTTGCCAACTTGATACATCTGTAATCCCACCTAGACATCCAGCTATCTGTGAAGGGTCAAGTGTATGTTCGGTCAGTCTTGTTCTACGGTGCAGAGACTTGGCCACTAGGGGAACAGGATAAAAATAGTGTCGGTGTTCGAACACCTCTGTCTACGTCGCACTGCACGAGTTCGGTGGAGTAACCGGACGAGCGATGTTGAGGTTAGAAACAGTTTTAGGTAATCGCGGTCGTCCACTGGAGCAAATGATCGACCTTCATAGATTACGTTGGTTGGGGCATGTCACTAGATAAGTTGCCCAGGCGAGCGATGTTGTCGAGGCAGGTAGCGGTTGGAAAAGGTCAAGGGTGGTCAAACGAAGAACTGGCATAAGGGTATGAAAACCCCAACCAGGAGACTGGGTCACATAGGTCCCGTTAGGCTCCCTAGTTGGAGATCCCGAGATGATGGTTACCGATGGTTAGAGACACTGAGTGATATGACTGGGTGTCGCAAACAGTGGCGCTCATGCATCTACTCACTATTTTCCAAACACCAGTCTATATGAATTCTCCATCTTGCGCTTGAATTTGCTTTCAACATTCCAATGGTCATGCTGTTGTTTTATGGAAATGGGCGACCAAAAGACAGCAACCAAAACCGGCGCACGAAAGTGTGCATGGTTAATGGTTGTAATAAGTGAACTGAACCTCACCCTCGTGTTTGCCACATACACAGGGATGTGTAGACCATCAAAATAGTCAAACAGACCAGGTTGCACTTACCGTATATCGTGGATATCTGGGAATTGACAGACCCGAAGAAATTTACTGTTCGAACCGACCGCATAATACTGACCGCTGGGATGAAACGCAACACAACGGATTGCCTGACTGTCCTCTAACACAGTCACTGGGATGTACCGTGGCGACGGTGGGGATCGGGAGCTCGCGATCCGAGTTTCCGGAACCGATGAGTGCGAAACGTCGGGTGGTGTAGTGGTGGCAGCGGTAGCGGGAATGGGTTTGTAACCGGCCGGTGTTTGGATTACAGTATCTGTGGCCGGACGAGGTGTTGCGGGACTGGCTGGAGCAGGGGCAATTTGGCCAGGCTGTGAATGTTTGTCCACAGTGAATCAAAAATGAGAGAAAAAGATGAGGAATGAGACAGGAGTGATTGAGGCACATACTGGATCAAGCTGTCTAGTTAGTTATTTCGATAACTTGGATGGGAAGACCAGTGAAACGAAGAATTCTTTTCGATTTCTCATTCTCAAACTTTAACATTAATCTATAATTACAAGGTGGTAACAAAAGTCACGATTTATAAAATAAACCGGGGTGAGGCAGGAGGTTACAGAGTTGTAATCACTTGATTAAGCAGATTACGTAACACGGTCATTCCGTCATCGTTTGATTTTCTGAACAACGGTAAATGACGTCATATTGTCCGGCCATGGCATAGGAGAAAAATCCGCTATTGTTTGTTCAGGGTGGTGGGTACCGCCTCGACCGTGCAGAGCATAATCGGCCGCAGTTGTTTGGTCAAATTCATCAGGTTCTGTAGATGACCTTAAACGACCTTTCACTATCTACCGTATGCCCTGTGTTGATAAGATGCTCCACAATTGAGCTACGAATGGTCTTTGATAGTCCTTTTCTCAACCAGGTCGGGTGATGCTCTTGAACCCGTTTAGTCAACTGCCGACCGGTACGACCGATGTAGCGGGTTCCACAGGAACACGTGGATTGATGGAAATGGTTGATAGTGGCAGTCGATCATTGAGTTGTTGAGCAATGGCCGGATAGGATGAGTAGAATATTTTCAGT